AATTCTCACACAACAACACCAAATCTTTCTCTGCGTCCGGCTGTTGATATTTACCTCCCATCTTCCCCTGCTGCTCGCTCAGTGGATCCCAGTTCGCAGAGTTTTCAGTCACGCAGCAGCGGGCGCTTCGTGATGGAGGAAGAATCGATTTTCATCCAGTCATGAGGCCGGTAACGAGAGTCCATACCAGACAGCGCGCGCCGCGCCGCGAGGGATGCATAATGATTTACGCGCCGCTAAGCAGGTGCCATTAGGCCAGATGTTTTTATTTTCCTGGGCCCCCTGCAAAAGCTCTGAAGATCCCTCTCTGTATGTAGGAGGGGTGTGTGTGGTCTGGTTGGCACCGTCACAAGTTCACAGCTAACGTGTCGTTTAAAAAGCTCTGCTGTGGAGAGATAAGCTGCTGCTCAAAACTGGCTGTAGAAATAACAGTAATATATAGAGGAAGAAGGTCCAGTGCTTCTTCAACATCTTGTTCTTATGAAAAGATTTACACGTTTTAAAGATATTACCTAGAGGTCGTTTTTTTTTTTTCCTTCCTTCAACAGATATATATAGTGATTATAAAAACAAATCTGGGTTATGACGTATGGATTTAACAAAATGCAGCATTTTGAAATGAGCTGGAAAAAAACCAAACAGACCACACATTCTGCTTAGTGACCATCTGGGTCGATGACATCACAGGAGGGAGAAGAAGAAGAAGAAGAAGAAGAAGAAGAAGAAGAAGAAGAAGAAGAAGAAGAAGAAGAAGAAGAAGGGAGCCGACTGGCGGACGAGCAACTTTTCAGAGATTTCAACACAAACTGTGAAGTCTTCTGAAGATGTCACTGTGGAAACAATGACTGGACCGGCGTCCAGAACCTCAGCTGATTTTATTCCTCTCTGACCGACTGGTTTTATGTGCAACATTCAAATCCACAAATACTGGAGAGATGCCCCCCAAAAGTCTCTACAACTGCTTATTTCAATTGCTCAAACAATAAATATACCTTAATATACATAAACAGGCTCAGTGGTAACCGTTTTAGCACCACAGCAGAAGCTAATATATACAGGTGACAAACAGATTTTAGTAAAATATGTAACTGTGACGCTGCTGCGGATGCTTCCCTTAATTCACGTTTTTATGACCGTTTTTCTTTATTTACCTTAAAATAAATGGCAAGTAGGTTTAGTGGAGTAAGTGCTTAAAGTGGTTTATTTTGAGACATTGTATGTTTTCAAGTAACAAAATTACCAGAGACGCACCAGTCAGGTGGCCTGAGGTCGACGCTTCATGTCAGCGGATCAAATACTGAGAAGAAAACTTCAATTACATTTTCTAAATCAGATTTTTTTTTTATTAGAATTTAAAAAGACAACAACAATAATAAAAAACTAACTAACTTCCAGTCTGGAAAGACTAACAAACTCCTAAACAAGAACATAATAATCTATATGCCTGTGACGTAAACGTAATCTGTGAAAAGCAGGATTGTTTTAATATTTCATGATCAACGTTACGATGATATGTATTGATAAATAAAGCGATTCAACCTATAAAACATAATCTGATGCACTAAATTAATATAAGTGAGATAAAGGTTAGACTTGTATGCAAAAATGGGAATAGTCTTGAAGATTTTTCAGTTTAATTTAAAAGCTATAACTTCAGGAAGGGAGCTCAAAATATGTGTGTCAGATTACAAAAAATGTAATTTTAAAAACACTGGAAACATGAGCGTGAGTTTGATTTATTTTTTTACAAAAAAACGAACGGCTGGTAACTTTTACAGAACTTAGGTCAAAGATTTATCATCTTACATAATTTAACGTTACGATTTCAAATCAGGAACATGTTTTAATATTAGGGCTGCACACCTACAGTGTTACCGTGATGATATAAGTTGCATTAAATCCTCCCTTTCCTCACTGCAAGCTTGGATGCCTGTCTGTGTGACCTTTGGGCACCGGTCTCCGGGTCAAGGGTGGGTCTCTTCTGCAGAGACTCCAACCAATAGTCTGTATATATTATTGTCATGAGAAGAGAAATGTCCTAACAGCATGCATACATATAGGCAGTAATTTCTGATAAAACTACTGAATTAACTAATAATGCAATGATCATTTACAGAGCATGCATTATGCAATCATAAGAAGTAACCTAACAAATAACATATTACCTTCAAAGAAGAGAAATCATTGTTTTCTCTAGAAAATATTAACAGAACAGACTGTCAGGATAAAACCCCAGTAAGTCATGATTACAGCAGCAGTAATTAATGAGTGATAGCAGGATCTCATTAACAGCAGTTAGCCCATCGGTGTCGGTTCAGAGACGGTAACCCGGTGTGAGATAAGCCCCGCAGAGCCACCAGGACACACCGACCCCATCAGAACAAAGCTGTTTACCAGCCGAACTAAGCTCCTGCTAGGCACAAGTGAACGCTGTACTTCTGGGTCGGGCTCCACAGACCCTCCATGGTATCTTCCAAAAAGGCTCGCCCCGAACAGCCCCTGCTGCTAAGGGCTCATTAGCGCGGCTAACTGACGGTACCGAAGCTACACGGGCCGGTTATCGCTCATATAAGTGATCCGTTCAATGTATATCCACTCTGAGGCTGACTACCAAGCCACTGTCCCCCCTCTGAGGGCTCTGATAATGTAGTACGTGGACGCAAGGGCGCTCACTAAACACTGCGGAGGCTGTCAGGCTGTTTGAACATCGCTGGGGGGGCTGAAGCCCCTCACTGCGGCCAGAGACACACACAGACAGACCCCCCCCGGCTCAGCCGCACCAGCAGCGCGCTCACTCCGCTCAGGACAGCCAGCGGCGGGCCTGCACTTGTTTACCTTCTTGTCAATGCGGACGGTGAAGACATCCCGGTCCCTCAGGGGCTCCTTGCTGAGCACCAGGCCGTGGTTGAACTCCTGGACTGGCTGGTTGCGCCGGGCTGTTCGGTTCGAGTTGGACAGGCCGATCAGCTTTCCGCTCCGCGGATGCAGCTCCGCCGCCATCTTCAGGGGGCGGCCAGGATTCACGACACCTCGGCTTTGCGACAGTACCCTTATCTTAGCGGTCGAGTGGTTGTCATGACAATGCTGTTTTCATCAACTGAGCTGTCAACAGTGCCGTATAAAACGTAGTGGGTAATCGAGGGCATATTGAAAAAATATATACATATATTGTTAAATAAATATTTATATCTGTGGTCTTTTTAACTAAGTAAAACATATGTCTATGTTTCCGATATTTAGTTGAAACATAAAATTTAAACGCGGAGATTTAATAAACCTGACTTCATTAAATGCGTATTGAATTATTTCATATTCCTGTTAGCTGTCTTTGCACAGTTTTGTGTTCAAATTCATTTAAAAGTAATTGAGCAATTATCCTTTGTGCACATTTTTCATGCAAACATAAGCATTGTACTTAAAAGGTTTATTTCACATTGTGTTCATTGTTCCAGCTAATAAGGCTGTGAAAATTACTAACAGTTTTCATTAACAAACGGGAAAATGTCTCCCTAAATGAGACTATTTAGTGACAAAAACATCCCCAGGATTTATAACTGAGTTAGAAAGTACAAGTTCTCACCTCTGACCTCAGAAACCAATGTGACTTCCTTGCAAGCAAACCTTAGTGACATTTGAAGTAAAAATTGTTTATTTAGAGTTGTGATGATTTATATCTCGTTAAAGTTTTTTTTTTTTTACAGACTCGCAGAATTACTCAACCACCACATAGCAGAGAAAAGCTGTTTCAGTTTGTATTGGTAAAAATAATTAGAATAACTGGAACTGGTTAGTTTGGCTTGGTGCCTTCCTGAGGTTCAAGTTCAGAGGAAATTAATGCAGAATCAGAAACAGGAACTTGTTGCTGGTTCACTGTTGTCAAATTAACCACATAACTTTGTTTACTGCAAACAATTAATACAAAAGTATCTTTAGTACCACAGAAGGCAGCCTGCGTACTTGTGAAAAACTTGGCCCTGTGTAAATCTGGCATGTATTTCTCCTAACTGGGTTCAACCACTGTATTTGATTAACCATGACTAAAACTCTGTTTAGTTTCTTCTTCATTCTGTTTCCTGTTTTTTTTTTTTTTTTTTAAATGAAAAATAAAGTGCTTTTTCAGGCCTCATAGCGGCAGGTAAATGTTAAAACATAAAGAACAAAAACATCAAACTTTGAGACGAACATGGTGTTTGTTCTTAATTACTACACATGTCTTATATTATCTCAGGACAGTTTTTTAAAATCTTCATGTTGCTTTATAGTCGGTGACGTAGATCTTACTTGCATGACGTTGCCTTCATTTGACCGCTAGAGGGCGCAACATAATCGCCTAATCATTCATCCGTGGCTCTTATTCTGAAATCAAAAACACCTCTGCATCGTTTTTCCGTCGTTTAGCCTTAAATCCACCAGCGCAATTATCATTCACTAGTGATCCTTTAAAGGAGGATCATGTTTTATTCACAACCACACATCCAGGTAATTTGTACCATGATCAGAAAAACTCTCATGTCTGAGGTGCAATCAATCACAGATTAAAAAAAAGAAGAAGAAAGAAAACACACACATCCATTTATTTGTTTTAAATTTATTAAAGATTTAAATTATGGCTATATAGATACATATTAAGGTTAATTGGTGAGAGAACTGAGTTATGCATGATAAAACCTCAGCGCTCTGAATGTTGTGTAGTGGAAAAATACTGAAAAATGTCGTAGACGGGTTATAAAACAACCGGCTCCTGAGACCGGATGAAACACAAAACAGCAACAAGTCATACACAGATAATTTGTGAATTTGTCTTGCATCTGCAAAGTATTTGCTGCAAATACATTTATCTAGGAACCACTTTTTGACACCCTTGAACATTTTTTGTTCTTTCATGTATTTTTCCAAATCACGCCCCATTAGATCGATTTTACTCGCGACCTCTTAAATGTCTGCGCTATTGCTCACATCAAGCTATGATGCACTTTATATTTAAGTGTTTTTTTATTTGCTTTTTTGTTTTGGTTGTTCAATTTTAGTCATGACGCATGACATACACAGCTTGTTAAACATTGTGCATCTCTTTGCAGCCGCATATTGTTTCTCAGAGTTAAGTTTGTATCTTAGGTTGGTAAAAAATACATATATATTTCTGTCATTTACAAACTTTTTGTCTGTTATTTTGATTTACACTTAGACATATCGTTTTTGTTTTTTTGTTTAATTAATCACACTATTCTGGAAATAATTATCAGTCATCTTATCTTTATGAACTACAGACACATGAAGTCCTTAACAGCCAGCATCCTGTCCTCTTGCAGCCCCATGCAAGCTTCCTACACCGGGCAGCTGTGTGAAGAAGCTGACATGTCTTTGATAGCTGAATCCAGATCCAAATCCTTCAGTTGGATTTTGATCTTCTCCAGGCAGCCTCTCAGGAAATTGGAGCCAACCATATCTTTAACGCCACCTGAGGAGTGAAAAATGGAAAGAACGCATTACAGTTGACTTCTGTTAATTGTTTTGTTTTTCCTCCTTTCCTGGCTTCAATGTCACCAACTCGCAGTTTGTCTTACTCTGTACTCTCTTTATGAAGAGTGAAACAGGGTTTTAAGGATGTAAGGAAATAAAAGCACACACCTAGAAGACCTCCAATGGCGAGACGCCCCTCTCTCAGCTCCGTCAGATATTCGGGGGCACTCAACGGATCATAAGAAACTATCTCTGTGTTTGCTTCATCTAAAAATTTAACCACTTCCACCGCTTTCTCAAAAAAAGTAATCCTCAGCTGCTTCACAGCGTTTGTCAGAATGTGTTTTTGCTTCCTGATAGTGAAATGAATCTCCTGCAACCCAGAAACAGAGACACAGAAATCCATTTTTTTTTTTTTTACATACAAATATATTCAGAAATCACTGAGAAATATATTCACGCACATTCGTGTTATTATTGGCTTCCACGACTGCCAGCAGCTCTCCTTGTGAGGACATCATGCTCAGAATGGTGCCCTCCATCTGAGTGAAGTCTCCCCAAAATTCAACTCTGAAGCCAAGATCTTTGATCGTTTGGAAAACTACAAACAAGCGGGGAAAAAAAATAAAAAAATAAAAATCACACTTCAAACACAATCGCCACTGAAACGCTCTCGGAGTTGTCAGCACATATTTCCACCTAACATCTGGTGTTGAGCGCAAATACCCCAGACTAAGCTGAGCATGTCAGCACACGAGTGGGTGTTTAAGCTCATCTGCATCTTATATAATTCAGTGCGGCGTCACCACCTGAGGTGTTGAAAATGGTGAATCCTTCGCCAGCGAAAAAGCTGCCGGGTTGGATGTTCTGGTGGCAGAGCCAGAGCTCGTCGGCGTCCGCCTCCCAGGGCATGCTGAGGTTTAACCAGTGGCCTTCGCGCACGCAGCCGTCCATCTGTGGCTCAAACTGTAAATAAACAGTCAACAGGACCTTCAGAGGAAGGTCTTTGTCTTTGCCTTTGTCACAGTACGACAAACTTCAGTAAAAACTTCAGAGGCAAAAAAAAAACCTCCACATGGTTTTCATTTTTAGCTTACTCTGAAAAGTCTGCGTTTATATTTCATCCCCTTTATTCTACAGCCCTTAAAGAAAATGAAATGCAAACACTTCAGAAGTCATCTAGTAGTAAGTAGACTCCATCGGCGTGTAATTTAATCTCGGCATAAATCCTGAATGTTCTGTGAAAACCTCAGAGGTTTTTCACAGAACATTGCTGAGCAAACAGACCAAAATCATGGAGACCAAAGAGCAGACAGGTCAGAGAGAAAGTTCTGGGGAAACTTAAATACGCTTTGGTTTTAAAAAAAAAAAACATCCCAAGGCTCGAACAGCTCACTGTTTAATCTACGATCCAACAAGTGAAATAGTTTTCATATTGATCTTATGTTATAAACCAAATTTCTAGACAAAATGTTGTTTTGTTTTAAGTATTTTTAAGCGAGTATCATCAAAATTACAGGAAATAAAGGCTTGAAATTTTTCACTCTGAGTGTAATGACGTATTATATGAGTTTTAATTCCTCAGATGAGTGTGGAAAATATTGACCATTTCTGCAATATTGCATTGTACCTGTAACGTCATTTGGATGGTTTCCACTACGCTTACTAATGTGTTAGAATAGCCAAAGTCCAGACCTACATTAAAATGAAAATCTGTTACATTGCTTCCCTTGCAAAAGGGAATTAACAAAAACTTCAGCCTCTACATGTTTAAAGCTGGAAGAAACATGACCCAAAGGACCAGTGGATGTAGTTGTAACAAAAGCCAACTCTACAAAAATATTGACCCAAAGGGGGTTGAATACAAATTCAGGCAACAGTTTGCAGAATGTGCTCATCTTCAAACTCCAAAACATTTGGAAAACACTATTTAATAGTAAAAAAAAAACGTAAGAAATGTGCAGGAATCTTTTTATGACTGTTTGTGAGGACCCTACTGTTTAGGCTTAAATGTTAAATAAGTCCAACTAGTAATTCCAGTAAAAAACAACAACAAAAAAACAAACAAACAAACAAACAAACAACCCATGACCAGGTGAAATAAGTTTTTTTGACTAGTGAATAGTTTCAGGGCAATAAATATAAACTACCTCAACGATCAACTTGTCCTTGCTGGTCAGGATCCCACCAAGGGCCAGTCGAAGTTGCCCGGAAATGACCTCCTTTGTCTGTCTGGAGTGCATTCCCACCACCAGTCCAGGCAGGCCGTCCACCTCCAGAATGACAAACTTTCCCCGGTTGCTCACGTCCAACTTCGAAGGAAGAGAAAGTCACGAACTGATGCCAAGAACGAACATCTTACCGGAAACTCACCGTGTGCCACTTCCCGTCGTTGAGCTTCGGGCCCCCTGTCACGCTGACTTGCACGTCTTCTTTGCTGATCTGCATTAAGGGGAACCCTTCTTTCAGGGACAAAACAAACCAGTCCTCTCCATTTTTGGTGTCTCCGTAGAAAATCACTCCTTCGGGGTCGAAGGTCCGGAACTGAAAGGTGGACTTGATGCTGCGCGATGCGGACAAAGGAGAAACACGGCTGCCTAATTCAAACTACATGGTTGCGTTTAAGAGGGAAGTGATTTAAAAAAAAAAAAAAAATCTCCTCGTAATGCCGCGACAAAGTCCTGCTCACCTGCGGATCTCGGTGAGGTTGGCCGTGGTGCGGATCAGCGGACTCCAGGGGTTTCTCTCTTGGCCGAGGTAGATGATTGAATCCCCAGATACCTTTTTCTGGAGGGCACAGGCATCGTGACGATAAGACTCTCTGCTCAATTAACACTAATGCATTCGCTCTGTTTCTGCACCGTGGATGTTCATTGTCCTTTCCAATCAGATATGTTGATCGATTAGAGGTTAAAAGCCCGTCGATCAAAACCGAAAACATAATTACGCCGTAACAAAAGACGTAAGGGCAAATTCGTAATAATGCCCCGTAATACGGTGCCGAATCAATGTTGATGCCATTTATACACACAGGTGAAGCTGAAATAGTGAAACTCAACAACAACCAAAAATAATCATTTGATTAATTACTTCAAATAGAAATATTTGCATAAAAATATTTGGAGATTGGATTTATTAAATGATTTATTCTTGGTGTCGGTAAGTTAAAATGTTAAGATTTAAAATGTGTTGGCCTCTTTTGGAAAAAGGGAATTGTGTTTGGAAGACATAATAACTACTTTTCCAGACTGATGATTATTGTTATGGTGCTACTTTCAAATTTAAAAGTCTTTCTATCTATGTGCATCTACCTACCTCTCTGTATTTCAGCTAATATTATTTGGCCTAGGTTTAGTAACAAACAAGAAAAAAACGAAGGTTCAGCCCCTCAATGGACCTCATGAACCCATTGACTTGTCTTCAAGTCAATGGGTTCATGAGGTCACCCCTAACCTAATGACTACTAAGGGGTTTTAAAATCAAGTACAAACATGCACACTTAAGCTAGTCAAAAATCTCTACATTTGCACCAAAAGCAAATGTCATAAAATATCCTGATAATTTTTTTCCCTCACATTTTTTGATGTAACTTGAACAAGTTGCCTTTTTTGAGTGCACTGTTGACCAAAGTCCTAAGTCTAAACAAATGTCTGACTCACTTTAGCTGGCCCATGATGAGTAAATTAAAGTATTTCAGGCCCATATGGACCATTTTTAAAAAATATATAATTTATGCTAACACCTGCGCAGGATGTTTTGACCATCAAACTTTAATTTTAACTTTCAATTTAAATCTACGAGCTTTTATCCAACTCAGCGGAGAGTAAAACTAACACACACTTGCAAACAGATTTAAAGACATCATTCTCCCACCAAGCCTTGGACACACATAATCCTCAAACGACAGTGTTACATACTTTACCGTTCCCCTGCCCATCAACTGTCCATCCCATGAGGCAGACAGCTAAGAGCAATCCAGCTGCCACTGCTTTCCAAAACACAGCCATCCTTCTGCCTCCCAGTCCTCCCAGCACGCACTCTCTAAAGCCCCAGGGTGGTCTTGGCACTCTGAGCTTTCTCGTGGGATAAATAGCAGCGAGATTGCCACAGTGTGTGTGTGTGTGTGTGTGTGAGTGGAGCGTAGGTGAGTGTTGGCACAGTGTCACGGGGTCCAGAGGGCAAATGGAGAGCGGTCAGCGTAGGCGATCGATTCTCTGGAGGAAGAGCTCCGGCCGTGACTAGTGTGGTAGTTTAAAGGTTGGTGGGTGGGAATAATGTAGCTCACCATATAAAAAAACAACCAAAAAAAATCAAAGCTGTTCAAATAAGATAGTTATGTTGGTATTCCTGATAAGAAAGACAATGGAGCAAAACCCACATTTAGATTAGTATTATATATATTTTTTTAAAAATACAACAAAAGTGTTGAATTCAGGGAGATTAAAGGAACTGAAACGAGCCTCCAACTACCATCCGGGGTCAGCGACCTCAGTGCGACCACTGGTGTGTGTTTACCCATGCCGCAGGAACCTGATGCACCCGTCTCTGGCTCCTGATTTCGTCTGTGTGCATGCGAGACTTGAAGCCACAAGGCTCTGCTGTCTCCTTTGCTGCATTCCCCTCGATACCATCTCCTTCCAGGAAGCCTGTGATAACTGGAAAGTACTGGGAAAAGAGCAACTGACACACAAGCAGCCTCAATCTGCTACTCAGCTGCTGAGGATTAGGAGCTGATCTGAAAATGTCAAATCAAAGCTGAACAGCAAATTCTTCCTCCTCTTGGTTGTTTTTATAGCGTAACGCCATTTGACCGATCCGACGTTGATAAAAGTGACGGAGGGTGACGACGCTGGTGTAAATGACACCTTAATTGATTGTCACGCCGCTGTGCAGCTTTTATAAAAATAAGACCTGAAATGCACCAGAAATCGAACATATTCGTTTTCTTCTGTCATTTCGCTGCATCACTACCAAGATCTGCATCGATATCATTTCTCAAAGTAGTCGCTGTAAACTGTAAAAGCTGGGCGACAACCTGCAAAAGCAAGCCGCTCGCTCAAAACGGATAACTGATTCCTTTAAAGCAAGTATTTATGTCAATGAAAGCGTCTTCATCAGAATAAAAAGCCCTGTCGCCATGGTTACTAATGAGGCTGTTGGATGGCTTTGCCATGTTGTCGTTGTGAAAGTTCACTCAGTTTTCCAACACAAAAAATATCAGATATTGGTGACTTTACCTAAAAATGCCCATGAAAGCACTGCACGGTGTTTGCACAGCCATTTGAAAGTTATGCTAAGTTAAACATTACTATATTTAGAGGTCATTGAGTACAACAAACTCAGTGTTTATACTTTACAATTCTTTTACAGTTCTACCGTTGCTTTGGTGAATTTCTCAGATTGTCCTCCATGTTTGCAAAGCAGTGAGAGCATTTCTCAAAACAATTTGTACAAATATCAAAATACCATAAACTATCTGCAAAAGTCAGGATTTGATTCAAAATCCTTACATTGTCTCTAAAATGTAAATAAACGTGTCAGTGAACATGTCAGCGCCTCAGAACGATCAAACGGGTGAAATGAAAGCGCAGACTCTCAAAATGAATACAATTTTATTTGAGGGACATCTCAAATTGAAAGATTTTGCTGCTGTTAATCAGCTTTGAAGGTTTCTCTTTCATAATGAGATGTTTCTGATAATGAAGTGGGCGGAGCTTGGCTTGGGTTGCTAGGAGACGGAGCGGGGCCCATCAATGGTGACTTCATAAAGGAGAGGTTTTTGAAATGACTCGTTTTCCAGACACCAAAAATACATGAACTTATTAACGCTTAACCTAAAAGCAGAAAAGACCCAAATAGACGTACAAAATATTTCTAATCAATAAAAACTACTGGCATGTTCTTCCATCTTTCCCATTTTGAAGAGAGGCTAAGAGAAACAGACTTCTGTGACATGTTTTATTTGAACTCCTGGGAAACATAAAGTTCCTAAATACTCTGGCTAACTTAAAAAAAAGAAACTAGAAAGAAATGCAACAAAATGTTAAGAGGTGCCATAAAAAAGAAATACATCTTAATATAGCGGTGAATTGGTGTACCTACAAATAATATTTGGGCTTTTTAAAAAATGTTTTTATAGATTGTACCAGTATAATTAAAATGTTATTTATTTCCCAGTTTTTTTTATTATTACACATCTTACCAGGACTGCTAATATTTGCAGTGATCACCCCATAATAATAATAAAAAAAAAAAATCCAAATTAATCATTAGAAAACTCCGAGGTCAAACGACAAAGTAGTAATCTAGCTCTTAATGGCAGAAAATCTTGTGTAAGCCGTTAAAAAAAAAAACAAAAAAAAAAAAACAAGTCCAGACGAGCTCTTTTTATTGGGTCATCAGGTTAATACTTTATTTTGTTTGATTGCAGCAAAGAGAAAGGAAAGGGAGACAGAAAACAAGGGGAGGAGGGAGGAAGGACAAGAAGAATGTCAGAAAAAGGAGACTACAGACTTTGGGAGAGCTGTGGCTACAAGCCTTTGTATCAAATCTAAAGACAAAGTCGTCAGGCAACATTAAAACATCTTTTAAAAATAACATTAACATATTCTGTGGGCTCTATATGGCACAGTATTACCCTAGACATGTACATGATATTGAAACAGTTTAGCCACACTCCTACATCTATGAACAGCTTCATAGCAGTAAAAGCCATGAACTCTATCTCCAAACCGTATGAAGAAAACTCTCGTTTACCGTTTGAATTTCTTATGCCATAACAAGGCACCTTAGCAGTTGAAATCTGGCAGATCCACGTCTTACTATAGATAGTTATTTAAATATCAAAGCGGAGGCACATTCATTTGAACTAAAACATACAGTAAATAGTTGTATATTACCACCAGATTCCAGTCCAGTCACCACGATACGTCAATTTTGCATGCTTTTGGTCTGTTTGATAACCATGATGGCAAACTATGGCATAAGAAATGGGCCAAAAAACACAAACGTGTCCATTTATAGGAATGGCTTGAGACAGTGTACTGGAGACAACAAGGCTTTTTATTATTAATTTAGTTCATTTTTTCCTTTTTCTTTCTTTTTTTTTTTTTTGTTTTTTTTTACAATGAAATTTAACTCACAGAAGACTCCAAAAGAAAAGATCATAATAATAATTAAAAAAAAACAGAAACAGGTGGCCGATAAACTGCCAAGGGATACGCTGCTCAGGCAGATTTATTTTGGTTTTTCGTTTTTCGTATTTGCACAGTCACACACTTTCGCAAACTCATAAACAAAACAAAACAAAACAAAAAAGGCTTGTAACCACACCGGAGGGGATCTGTGGTGCTCCCCTGCAGTCGGCCACATTGTGTTATTTAACACCTTTAGTCAGAACCAACAGAGGCATACGTGCACACACACACACACACACCGAAGTACGTGCAGTTCGTTTAGAGGAGGTGCAGCGAGCTAGAATGTGCGCAAAGACAGAGGTGGGGCTATGGGGAAAAAAACAACAAACTTCTAAAATAAAGGGGCTATTTTTCTTCTGCAGCCTAAAGTTTGACAGCGATATGGAAGATTAACAGAAATCCAGAAAACAAGGAGTAAAAAAACAAAAAAGAAAACATAAAGAAAACCTGTGCACACAAAGCCAATTTGCTGAGGATATAAACAGTTAGGAAGCGAGTGTTGCTCATGCTTTGTGGATAACGAACCCAAGTTTACTGACATGTTCCTAGGACTACTGTATAATATGCATACCAGACGTTATACGGTTCTTCAACAGGTTACTTGTGTCAAAACAAAGGGAAAAAAAAAGAAAAAGGAACTGAAACCAACTCTACCATTAATGCAGCTGTACTTCATTAACCTCGTGACTAAATTTACATTCATGTTTTTAAGTTTACTCCCCTTCTCCTACCCCCCCGCCCGCCCTCTCTTCCTCTCCGTTCACTGAAGCCACTTCCATCTGGTAAGAGGGCTAAACAACAAAAACAACATAGTTTAACAAAAACCAACACATTGAGAACTTTACACGTAACAAAAAGGCCCCAGCAGGGCGTCGGGAGAGTCTTGGCCCATCCCTTTGGCTGCTAAGCTCAGCCTTTTCCTACCTCTTAGTAAATGACACAGGACACAGATCAGACCTTTTCCCAATCTACCCCTCGGTATTAAGGGTTTGTGTTTTTTTTTTTTTCTTTTATTCCCCAGCATCATTTCTCGTTGGATCCTTCTGATTCAGAGCCCAACAGTTTTGTTCCCATATATAATCGTCTTCCTATAAAGAAATAAGACAATACCCTAAATCCTTCCTGGTTGTGAAGATTGGGCCTTTTCCTCTCTCAAGTAAGAGGGAAAAAAACAACAAAAAAAACTACACAATACAAAGGCGGACTGGTCTTTATTCTTTTCCTTTTTAATACCTATTTCAAAGAAATGAGATGAAAAATGGAAGTGCAATGGTCTACCAGCCTTTAATTCTTCTTTTTTTTTTTTTTACCCAGTGGCCAGCTACATTTCCAAAGCAGCTACATATGTCTCCTTTAAGTGACCACTACTTGTCTATTTTGTGCACATAAAATATAAACTATTGTAAATGCTATACAGATCCTACAGTGCCAACTTGTCAGAAAGTCATCAGGTTTATTGACACCTAAAAGGACTGATCAGGACTTTTTTTTTAACGAGGTTCTCCTAAAACGATATGAGCACTTTTTTATCTTATGGAGCAGATAACTCTCTCACTGTTGTCATCTAGTATTAATCCAGATTAGTTTGTCCCAAAGGCCCAATGGCTAGATCTACAGTCTCAGAAACGCGATCGCGGTTTTTGTGAGGACTATTAATCTGTAAATGATCGTCACATCTGCATTTGGCGATTGGCAACAGAGAAGACGATGATTATTTACACAGGAAGTGTAGGTAGGAGAAAGTTCATCACCGATTCTCTTTCTGTGTGAAACATGTTCCAAGAACTAAAGCGTTTCCAGTCAAAGTAAATTGTTTGCAATTTCGGAAAGTGCCAAATTACAGATGTCTACGCTGCCCTACTTTTCTATTTTGTAGCACAATCTCCATTTTGCACGTATCCTACCAGAAGCTGTGAATAATAAAACAATGCAAGAAGTGACAAAAGCATGAAATGTACAGCATTTTCCCCTTAAAGAGAGTGATTTGTTCACCCTTGAGTGGAGCCCTTTTACAGGCATCAGTGGCAGCTTCGCTCGCCTTCAGGCCCGTCATGTAAAAACAGCTTAATTCGTGCGCATGACTGGTACTGGTAATTGCTGCGTCTGGTTTTTGTTGGTGTGTAAATATTGGGAATGAACTGAGCGAAAAGGACAAAAGTGAAAAACGGAGAAGGATGATACTTTTAAGACACTTTTTCTGCTCCGGTTAAAGTGAACGGTTACGATACAGAGAGCTAAAAAAAAAAAAAACAGAATCAGTAAGAAGCACTGAAATGTTACACTTTTTAAGTAAGAAGCAGATGATTGTCGAAAGCATAAAAATTACTTTTAAAACGTCACTGAAGCTCATGAAGCGCTTAGCCAAACCAAATTTACCTCAACTCCCCGTTAATGAAGGGCCTAATAAAAGTTAACGCATTTTGTTTTAGTTCTTATTGTTAATAAATAACATTCCAGTTAATAGCGCCTACTTTTGTTTTATTTACTTTTATCTACTTTTGATTTAAGCTGAGTACAATTTGCTTTTATTTAGAAATTGACTCAATAAAAATGGGAACATTTTGACAAAAGCTGTTCACTTTTCTGATATGCAAAAATAGCAAAGAGAGCGACATTAAACTAGATCAATAGATCAATAATCCCTACTTGATAATTCAGAGTAATAATCAAGTAGTTAGACCTGGAAAAATGAGATCCCTGAAAGGTTTAAAGAGTCACAAAGATAAAGATTAATAAAAAAAAAAAGAGTTTGCATAATGCATAATGCTGTCATTATTTAAACCAAAGTTCTTATAAGACAGAAAAATCTCCTCCGCCTTGGCCGCTCTACAAATTACTGTGTTATCTCCAGCTTCTGGGTTCAGATAATCTTCATTTTAACAAGATGCAGATACCTCGAGAGATATCTAACGTCGATAAGATATTAAGTGCTCATAAGACTTTAACAGAGCCCCGTTTGAAAAAAAAAAAATCCCAAACTATCTCTTCAGGAAGCTCAGACGATCTGACACTGTCATCCACTCCCATCCAGCCATAATCTTGACTTCCTAACGATTTGGATATGAGGAGTCGCCTCCAGAAGCACTTCTACACACTGACCTACAGGAGCTATTCCAACAAGAGTGGGAATGCTGCGAGAATCTCACATGGAATGGTCTAGATTCACTCATCCACAAGTACTCGGAAATACACGCACACTCATACCTGCTTCAGCCAAACACCGCATGCACAAACTGCCCTACGTATATATGCATGTACGTGCTTGAATACAGCTTTCACGGACAGTATGACAGCAGGAGAACCCTGCGTTCTCACGCCCTCGTACAAAAATACACTCCGACTGTGTCGCTTCACGCCCTATCCGGACCCATACAACGCCTTCCCTGAAGATCCTCGTCGTGTGGCAAGTGTAAAGGGAAGTAGACTGGACTAATTCTCCAAGCAACAAACACCCTGTTCGCAGTTTGTATTTTTATATTATACATATAATAACGAGTCAGAGAGGAAAATGAATCAAGCTCCAGAACAACAACACACTACAAGAGAACAGGAGAGGGAGAGGAGCAGGAGTAAAAAAACCCACAAAAAAACCAAAAAGGTGGAGAAGCGATACGTCACTTTAACGTCGGCCTCTCCACCCTGTTTCTTTACTCCGTCCCCGCCCCTTCGCGCAGACTTCTGTAATGCCTAGCTCTGATCTCTGCAGAATAAAGTGAGCCAGTCAGCACGGTGCCCCTTCCCCTCCCGGCCAGAGCAGACAAGGTTGTCCTGTTTGAGTTACGCTCCTTACAGTGCAGTTGTGTCCTACTGTTTGCTGCCGCTGCCATCTCGCTGCTTTTTGCCACTGCCGCCGCTGCTGTAGAGGCCAGGGTTCGCCACGAGCGGGTGAGGTGCTGCGCCCATGTAAGGTCCAGCAGTGGCTGCGTAGTTGAAGATGGTGGGGAGGAACGGCAGAGGCTCCACCTTGTCCCCTCCTGGCGCCATCATGTTCAGAGCCACGGGAAGCGCAGCCAAGTTGTAGGGGTAGGCTAATAGCTGCGGGCCGTAGAGCAGCTGGTAAGGGTCCGGGTAGAACGGCAGCTTGCCGAGGTCGCCCCCGTCGGGTACGATGACCTTCCCCAGCGGGCCAAAGGGCAGTGCTCCAGGAGGATAAGTGGACATGAGCAGGTTCTCCTCCTGCTTCTTAACAGATCTGTAGCTGTCTGGCACAATGAGGGGAAGGGGATAATCCTGGGTCGGGTAGTCAGCTGGGGTCGTGTCCCCCTGCTGTGAATCTCTGGAAGAGAAAGTGTCCTGATGGTCCGGCTCAGGCGGCTGGGAGGCTCTGGGAAGAAGCAGAGCGTGTGCAGAGGGGCGCTCAGCGGCACCAGCTGCTCCGGTGGGCAGCGTCAGCCTGTCAAGTCCTTGTGAACTTGAATGAACCTGCCGGCTCGCCTGAGCCTTCAGTCCAGTAGTTGAAGGGGGCCGGCAGGGGGACTTAGGAGTGTGCCTGCGCAAACAGGGTCCATTTATAGTGGTTTGGGTAGACATATGTTGGGGCGATGCTACAGGGCTCAAAGGCTCTTCTTTAGGGACAATGAGAGCGTTTTGCTCCTGTGGAGAATGAGCAATCCTACAGATTTTCTCTTTCTCGATCTCCATGTTCCTCCTCCGTTCCCTCTGTCTCTCCAGCTCTAGCTCTGCCTCCCTTTGCCTTTCGATCTCCCTCTCCCGAGCTAAAATAGAGGACATGGTCAGGTCTTGTGCTTCGTCGGGAGAGGGACTCCGGGACAGGGACTGGACTCTGCGATCTTGGAGCAGAGGCGGTTCTTTGTAGCCTGTGTGTAGAATTGTACTGGTTCCACTCTGCCGCTCTCTGTCGATAATGACCCCATCCCGTCTTGCGAATCCCCCTTCAGAGTTGGGAGCTGTTGTCATGGAAACAGGAGGAGCAGCAGTGGTTATTCTGGTCTGTGATGTCATGGGCACATTCGGAGAGGTGTTGTTGGAAGTCACAAAATGCAAAGGGCTGGCTTTTCTGTGGATCTGACTGTCCAGGCTTTTCTTAATTGGCATGCGGTAGTCGAGACAGTCAGGCCCGTTCATGACGAGCACACTCTGGAGTGACGAGGGTGCGGCAGGCGGGACCTCAGGTTTGACGGGCGTGAGGTTAACGGGACTTCCCGATGGAGGGTCTGCGGTTTGTGGTACAGGCTCTTTCTCTGGAGCAGGAAGTGCAAGCTGTGTCGGTTCAGGTCCTTCACTCGAGTTTGATTTCAGGCGTTTGCTTGTAATGTCACTTGGATGGTCGTCGTGCCGCTGTGATGCCAAACAGTCACCGCCGCTTGGTAGCTCTGGAGGTGAATAGCTGATAACTGAAACAGAAAGAGCACTGGGAGTCTGTCCTTTATCAGTCTCTGGATCTGTGCAAAGAGGTTCAGCAACTCTTTTGGGGGGTGTCGCCTCTGAGTTGTTATCTTCTTTGTCTCTTTCTGGAGAACTACTTAAGTCGTGACGTCGGATATGGCGAGTTAGCGCCGACGACGTCTTGCACACCTTGTGGCACTGCGGACAGGTGTGTCTCGATAGGGCTCTTCTGCTTAGACGACTGGGACTGGAATTGCTGCCTCCTAGTCCAAGCGGTCCCCCTTTATCGTCGTCGAACTTTGAGATTTCAGGCATGGATTTGATCCCGACGCCTGCCGCTTGCTCACCACATTTAGTGGTCACAGAGGATGCCTCAGTGGGTTTAGGATGCTGGGTTTTCTGGTGGTCTTCCAACTTTTCCCTTGAGGGGAAAGTGGCACGACAGAAGAGGCATACAAACTCCAGCAGATGGCTGAGCTCGTGTTTGTCTCGCTTCCTGGGGCTTGAGAACCAGCGGCCACATGTGCCACACTCTGCTGCATTCCCATTAGTCCAAGGCCTCCTCTTTATTCCTGTGGGAGCCACTGAGGTAGACAGAGGGGGCTTTGGAGAGCACACAGGGGGGGTGGAAACCTCATGACAGGGCTCTTTAACCTGTTCCTCTACATCCTGCTTTTTCTCCTTTAAAGGGGAAGAGAGATTATCCTTCTTTCTTTCCTCTTTAACGTCCTTGTCAGGTTTAGACAGTTTCTCAGCCTCCTCAGTTGTCCTGTCCTCCTCCTCATCTTGTGATTTCTCCGTTTGTTTATTCAGAAGCCTCTTCAGCCTCTCTGCCCTCCTCTTGAGTCGGATGGAGCGCTTGTACTTGAGTTTCCGTTGCCAGTTCTTCACTCTCTGTAGATGTGCCTGGGCCTTTTTCTTAGGCTTGTAGGAGTAGTAAGGTCGCCATAAATTATCCTCCATGTCATTGTCACTGTCCTGCTCCCGCACCCCCTTACGAAAGAAGTACTCCCTCACCTGATCGGGGGACTTGGACCTTTTGTTCCGGCTTTCTTGCTCCTCCACCTCCTCCTCGTCTTCTCCCGCTTCCTTGTCCCCATCTTCTTCCAGGCTGGCTCTGCTTAGCGGGCGGTGTTTGTGGTGGTGGTGGTGTGAGTGGGTTTGCCGTGGCTCCTTAAAGGATGATGTTTCACTGCGTTTGATTTTCGGAGGAGAAATGCTCTTGTCTCTTTTAAGGTCCGTCTCTGAGATGCTGCGCTTCACTATGGCCTCCTCGCCGATGCGCACAGTTATCTGACACAGTGGCCCTGATTCTTTGGCCTGTGAGCCTCCAGATGCTGACGCCTCCTTTGGGGCCGCGTTTGCACTCTTATTGTGGGACTTGCGGGGTTTGTGAAATGCTCTGCCTATCTCAGTGTCGTGTCTGCCTTTCGAGCACTCGTCTGTTGTGTCTGAACTGTCTCTGGACCTCTTTCTGTGATTATCTGTGCTATCCCTTTGCTTTTTGATGGCTTTAGGACTGCTTTTTGTTAAAATCTGACTGCTACCTGTTTCGGGGGACGGGCTCGTTACTGGACTTTTCTCGCTTCCAGAAGTAACCTGATTGCTGTGAACAATGACTGAGGATGACACAGCTGCTCCGTGAACTATAACAGAGGGTTTCGTGTGTCCATATGTTATAACAGAGGGCATCCCTGCTTCTGTGCCTCGACCTGCTTTAAAGGTTTTGAGTTTACTGCTACTGGATATTTTGAAACTGCCTCTCTGCTGCTCTAACTCCAGGGCCTCGCTTTCGTCTGTCCTAATTTGGGGCTCAAGCGCAAGCTCAGAGAGGTCTCTGTGCTCAGCAGCAAGAGAGATCGGGAAGCCATCAGGGAAAGCATCTGGGTCGGGCTTTAGACTCTGAGGGGGGGCTCTTGCAATGATGCTCTGCAGGTCCCCGGGGCCCAAAGCGCAGCCAAGGCCAGTCATGGAGAGGGAGGGGGCATCAGCTGGTGGAAGTAGAAGGCCATTATGTAAGCTGTCACTATAGGTCTTGTAGGGTCTCTTCTGGGAGCGCATGGGGAGAAGGCGGTAGAGCTTGAGGGCGTTTGCTTTCTGTTTATAACCCCCGTTAGCCGTCTTTTCACTGGAGATCAGGCTCGGATTAATCCCGTGAATCGTCTTCTGGTGTGTCTTGAGGTTGTAGTAGGTGGCGAAGGCGTCCCAGCAGAAGATGCACTGGTAGCGGCGCTCTCCCGTGTGCCACACCTCGTGCTTCGTGCGGTACTCAGCCAGGGCGAAGACCTTGTCGCAGTAGTGGCAGGGGTATTTACGCCGCCACGAGTGAACGTTGGAATGACGCTTCAGGCTGGACAGGGTCATGTAGGAACGTTCGCACACTGAACAGAAGTAGATGACGTTGCCGTCCACCACCTTCACAAAATGGTTCTCATCACCTGCCAGCAGCTCCGTGGCTGCTGCGTCACCAGCCTGGATACGCGCCAGGAGGCTCCGCACTTTCTTCCCGGGCCGTCCTTTGCTGATGTCCGTCTGTCCCACAATCACTCCCCCTTCCACTCTCACCTCACCATCCTCCAGCGGCTCCTCCTTTGGCTGCACAGTCAGGGACGGAGGGCGCAGGCCTGGCACCCTGCAGGAGCCCTCGTGGGATTGCAGTCTCTTGCTGTGGATGAAGACTTTGCCACAGTAGCGGCAGCTCAGGGCGCGGCTGCCACGATGCAGCCGCATGTGGACCGTGAGGGAGGAGGCTGAGCTGAACAGCCGGTGGCACACGCCACAAATCAACTCCGGCTTCATGCTGTCGGGAGGGGGGTAGGAGGACGGGTGGGGGGGTGCGGTAAGACCTTCGGAAGGTGGGGGAGGCAGCGGAGGCAAGGGAGGAGGGAGGTGGATGGTTGGCGGATGAAGACTTGGTCTGTGGGGACTCCCTGTTTTTCCGACTGGCCTCCCTGTCAGTTTCTCTCTCCTCTCTGCATCCACGCCTCTCTGATAGGCCGACGTGCCCAGACTGAAAAGGATCTGGGCCGTCTGAGAGGGCGAGGCCGTTCCGTTGGCCACTCTGTGCCTTTCATCCCACCCGTCTCCACTGAAACAGCCTCCTAAAGATCCACTGGAAGCTCTTGGGGGTGACCTGTGAATCTGAGAGTCTGAACTGAGTTTGGAGCACTTAAGAGGTGGCGGGGATTTCAGGTCCTTCCTGATGAACGAGGCCATGGGCGAGGAGGAGGAGGAAGGCGAGGAGGACGGAGAGCTGTCGTGTCTTGGGGGCTTAAAGGGTCTGTGCTTTACATCCGTGGTGGCGTCCAGCTTCCACAGCGACCCCTTGTCTGAGCTCTTGGAGGACAGGCGCCGCCGGTGGGGGGAAGGTGAGGATGAGGAAGAGCTGTGACAGTGGTCCGGTGACGTCAGCGACGTTGGGAGTGGCGCGGCGCTAAGCGGGAAGCTGAGGGTGATTTTTGCATTTTTAGGTCCCTCACCCATGTCCTCCAGCTTGTCGTCCAGTGTGGCCTCTACGCGATATCCGAGTCGTTTCCCCTTCATGTTCAGCTGCTCGGCTTCCTCTTCCTCCTCTTCCACAGACTGAGAGACCACACCAAGACTGTGGGCAGGTTTAATTAGTGGTTCGGTCTTGCTCCCACTGTACAAACTGACAGGTGAATGTTGAGCTGGGTGACGGGTGCCGAGGGTCACCAACGGTGGAGGTGGGGAAGACAAAGGTGACAGCTGCCGACTTTGGTGGAGGGCAGTGTCCTTCGCAGCGGCGTATGAGGAGTTGCAGAGGGGAGCGAGGCCTGGAGCCAGACGTTGTTCTCTCAGATGTGGCTGAGTAAGACCCGCATGGGGGGGGTCCCATACCTTCGCACTGGACACCATGACCAGTCCCCGAAATCTGAAAAAAAAAATCCCAAAGAAAAACTAATATTAAAATAAATAAACCAAATTTTGCATCAGCAAGAAGCATAACAATGAAGATAGCTCATTTTCTACTACAAAATTTACAACATTCACATCAAAATTTCCCAATTCATAAAACAACAAATTAGGCAAAAAAAAAAAAAGAAAAAAGGGTCAATTTCATATTGCTGATCGCGTCTAGACTATCGTAATTTATATATAAAAAGAATGTTCTGCAGTATTATCCACACTAAATCTAGATGCAATTTTGTAAAAAAGAAAGTTAAACTTTCATCAGTGTTTTATCAGTGCTCACAATATTAGTATCTCACAGGACTGTTTGAAATGCAGTAGTTGTTTTGTATGCTAATGTAATAGTCAACCTGCTGGAAGCAGTTTTTCCCCCACCTGCCACAAATTAAAGTGACCGAGATGCTAAAGGTCACAGAGGGTGCTCAAAACACCCTCTGTGTGGAAAAGAGAGGAGGGAGGATTTAAAATCTGGGAAAAATGTTTTCATACTGCCTGCTCGCCTCACCCATTATTATACATATATCTTCAATTATATTTGTCCGGACTTGGAAAAAATCGAATCAAATTGCATACTTTTTTTTTTTTTTTTCCCCAGACTTTTTAAGGCTACGTAAAAAAAAAAAAAAAAAAAAAAGCCATACAAAATCGAGTCTTTTACACAAGCAGTCCCCCCCCCGGTGAAGCCTTTTTTTTTTTTTTTTTTTTTGGAAGGCAAACAAAATGGTCCATGAATACTGAACTCCAACTGCTCAGCCGGGATTGGTGAGTGAAAAGAGGCAGAGGGGTAGGGGGAAGGAATGAATGTGCGGCGGCGCTGGTTTAGATTTCAGCGTGCCAAAGCCAAGCTTTCAGAAACGCATTCCAGAGATCCATCTTTCTCGGGCTGTGACACAACATTCCCTGTGCCTAATTGGAAGACGGTTAGATTTAATCAAGATTCCCCCAGAATAGTACGCCAACTTAGATCTGGGACATTAACGTTCATAAAAATAGCTCCGCTCCCTGTTTGTTCAAACACATTTCTTGTTAGCAGTTGCTTAATTGTGCTAGGCATGATTCTAAGCATTGATTTGCCAAGGTGGGGACAGCTAGTATTTTCTAAATCTACACTAGTCTGCTATGATCTCCTTTCTCATCCAAACGCTGTGCTGGTGGAAACAGTTTTAACTGCCATTCCCCGCAAAAAATGAAGCTGCAGACACACACAGAAGACATGTCAGTCTGCGATTGTTGTTTGGAAAAGGGTGCATACTTCTGGGTGAGCAGATCGGGGGAGAAAACAGAGAATATAAGGCCCATAATGATGCGACTGGAATAAAAATCCACAGTCATGCTTTTCTGCCTTCATTTTGAAGCAGCCAAGCTGCCAGGAAGGCAGGCCGCTGTAAAATTCCACAGGCAGCCCTGAACAGGCAGAAACTAGGTCAGCACTGTTATTGCAGAGGAGAGAGGAGAGAGAGAGCGAGAGAGAGAGAGAGAGAGAGAAAGAGAGAGAGAAAGCGAGCGCCGAGGGAGAGACAGGGTGAGGATGAGGGAGAGCGCAATGGTGACAGAAAGAGAAGGAGCCGAGGGTTAGCGAGAGAACAGGAGACCCGGGGCTCTGAAACAGGAACAGTCAGACTCGGCGCTCGCCGTCAGACAGACAGGAGCCCAGGCGAATGCTACACATGCTCCCTACATGCACAGAAACTTACACAAGTATTTATGTGCCTTGAACTTTGCTACGTGCTCTCAGACAAACTCCACTGCTAGTTTTTGTGGGATAGAACAAAACAGAGAATCACAGTGACGTGGATATATGTATTTTTGTTTTTCCTAATAAAACTCTTTGCCACTTCTATCTGTTAAATCTGAAAAGCGTGGCGTCAATTCGTATTCAGTTTTCTGAGTCATTGCACGTACGTCGTGCTGTTGTGACCGTTGCAAGCATTTGGGGGGGAGGGGGGAGGGGTGTGTCTCTGCCAGCTCTGGACATCTAGACTCTGATAACGTTGCTCCTTCCACTTTGCAGAACAGCTTAAGGTCAGTCCGATTGGATGAACGGATTCTGCGTTAGAGACACAATCAGTGCAAATCAGAGGAAGGCCAGAGGTTCCCCACTGTGCAAACAACAAAACCAGGACTTTGACGCAAACAAGTGAGTCATTCTGTTCTTATTATTTATAAAAACTAGCATTCCTGTTATGCTATCTTAGGTAAAGGAAAACTTTTTAAAGTTGGACTGGAAATGTAAGGAGAAGCGTTGTTGACGATACTTTTAAAAATGCACTTCCAAGTAAAGTGAATATTGGCCAGAATGATTGTTATTTGTAGGATGAGGCACTTTGTGGGAGAAATAAATCTAATTTATTGTCAATGCCCTGAAATGATTGCCTCAGACATTTTTTTCCTAAAGTGACTTTGGCAAAAATAAATAAATAATAAAAAAAATAAGAAATTAAACAAATGAAATAAAATTCCCTTTTGTCACTGACTGACTGTGGCTATTATTTTAGAAAGGTGGCAATAAGACTCACAAGACACTATGCATTTATGCATCTAAAACTAACAAGAAAGCCACTAAACCAGCAACCCAAACATTATGGAACGTTTACGAAATATTATTAATTATAATTTTTTATCAATATAAATTATAAATTACTCTGTATCTCCATTGCCAAGTTTGTTCAACAAATGTTGCTAAGACAAAAGTCTCTTCATTAAATAGCCAACTTAACTTGTGCGCTTTGGACAAGCAGAACAGGTCAGGGTTTTTCTGCGGCATCTTGAAAAACTAATTATTTCTAAAATCACGACGCAAGGAAATATAAAATGAAACTCGTCCTCAACCACATTCACTTCGCATAAATGTTTTTCTTCCCACTTCAGTCGTCAGAGGCAGAAAACAAGTTCATAATTGAGCACCTTTGTCTCCTTTTCATATTTAAATTTACAAACATCTCGGTTTGCAACGCAAACTAAATCTAAATATAAATTCCTAAGAATAACCCGATCAGCTAAACATATGTTGTTTAGCTTTAATTAAATCGCAGGTTAGATTATTTCTATAAATATTATTTAAATCACAAAGGGAAAGAAAATCAGCAGCGTCTGTAGACCAAGAATAACTATGAGCTCGATGCAAACTAATAATCTTCTCGGTCAGTTTTTGTTCTGGCATGTTGAACGAGACGATTCCACAACCCCAACATTTCTCATCTTTTATGTTTTAATCAAACAACCAATATCTCTCTCTTCAGCTTCATATAATCAAACAAATCTCCACAAGACACAAAACTTCTTTAAATTAAGACTAAAGACCCATTTACTTTTGATTTGCCTGCCATTAACAATAACTGTGAAATATATTAAATCTGGACTGGATTATGACTTTTCATTACTTCTCTTTGTTGTGCCAGTGTGATGTATCTTTTCTTTTCTTGTTTCTTTTGTTTGTTAATTGACTTTTGTTTTTCCACATGCGAAGCACTTTAAACTGAAATGTGAAATTTATTTATTGAGTTTTACATTCGTGCCTTTAAGATGCCTGTTTGACTTTGAACTGGACATGATTATGTGTGTGTGTGTGTGTGTGTGTGTGTGTGTGTGTGTTCAGCGTTTAACACTGCACATAAAATGTTGCATGTTGAACCTTTCAGACCTTATAGCTTCTTTAAATGATGGTTTCTCATCCGGACAGATTTGTGCAGCAATTATTGGTGGTTCTATTGACAGACTCTGCTACTTTGAGCTGTGTATCTCTGCAGCTCCTCCAGAGTCACCAAAAACCTCTTGGCTGCATCTCTGATTAATGCTCTCCTAACCGAGACAGTTAGTTCGCTGGACAGTCAAATCTTGGCAACTCGCAGGTTACAGCAGAGTTGCAAAAAAATGATTGAATTCCTTGGTATCAAATTTCACAATTGCGAAGCACCGCTTGGATGCAAAACCTGGTAAGCTGTTATATTTCACTTGCCAGGCATCGAAACTCTCCTTGACATGAATACATTAGCACGGTTTCTCATTGCGTTTATGCTCTGACCTCAAACAGACCTTTAGTATCAACGTGTTTCAGTTCAAGGACAGCGATTGGGTTATCGCAACAATAGAAAACAAAGAGAAATGAAGGAATTGTTAAACAACAGCATCACAATTTCCTGTTTTGTTTTTGTTATGTTTTTTTTTTTTACATTGTGCTGCCATAGTTTCCAGTTTCAGATGATGGATTCGACCCTGGGATGTTCAAAGCTTCGGATATTGTTTTGTAACCTAACTCTGCCTTGAATCTCTCCACCAGTTCATCCAGAACCTGTCTGCCGTGTTCCTCTATCTTTGTTGATATAAATCTCTGAAGAATTCACACAACGGCTGTTTTTATACGACGATTAAATTGCAAACAGGTCACCATTAGTGACGTCTGAGGGCAACGGGTTGCACCGGATTTCATTTAGGGGTGTCTGACAGAAAGGGAGCAGATGTTTTTAGGTTTACACTTGAGATTTTTTATATTTTTTGTCCTGTTCTATGACGTAAAAGCTCAATAATACTAAAAAAAAATTGATAAAGGGCTTTGAATACTTTTGTGATGCACTTAACCAAAGTGGTTCCACGTGGACAAGCCCTTTTTGTAAATGATATTCAAAACCAAAAGGTGAATCAGAGTGCAGCTCGACCTGCTGCTGGACACAGAAGTGGCATCAACAAAGAGGAGCAGCAAAAACCAAAACAAACGGGCCTTTTAAAGCAATTTTTAAGCGCACAAACCAGTCCGTGTTTATTTAAGACCCGGGCCTAAAATAGCACAGACGCCCCGGTCCTGTTTGCCAGGCCTGCAGCCACATTTTGTCGCTCTGTTTTGATACAGGCCTTTATTGTCACTCAGATTTGCTGTGCAATAGACGTCGTGCAGGAAATCCCTTATGGCAAGCGCCAGCCTGCTACAAGTAGGCGGACTCGCTGCGAGACGGAGCTGATGCTAAAAATTTCACCATCTCATCTGATGGCTGTGGACAAGAAAATGCGTATGACGCCCCCTCTTTTTTCTCTCTCTCTCTCTCTCCCTTTATCTTCTTGTGACGCACGTAGTCGCTGTAGAGGCAGAGGCTGCACGACATGCCGTCTCGCTGCGAGAGGGAGCTTTTAGATGTGCTGACTTCACGGACGCACGCATAGAAATCTGAGCACAACATACAACTGCTCCAACCTCTGCTGAAAATAAGCGGGCACAAACATCCAGGAGCATTAATCCACCTATTTGCCACACGGACAAACCCGTAAATGCAACCAGGAGAACTCGGAAGCTATTTATATTTATGTTTATATTGATATATGAAGAAACAGAATGACTGCTGCCCTTGCTCCAGACCCCACTGCAACAGGATGTTCTGCACAGACAAACAAGGCGCCTGGTCTTTGAGAAGTTCATCTATTTCAGCTTGTGGTAGTGCAGAACCGCAGAGCGAGGGTAGAGGTGCTAAGATTTTGCAGGACAAAACACAAGCAAGACTCCTAGCACATCATGCAAAACACCTCAAGTTTATTATGACAGAGAGTCATCACCAGCAGCCAGAAAGATCAGCGCCTCGTTGTCAGTTTTTTTTTTTTTTTTTTTTTTTCCTATCTGACCGGCTGACAAACAAGTAAATTTTACCCAGTGTTGGAGTTATTTCTCCAACACTGGGTAAAATTTACGCCTCACAAATCCAGGTTTGCTTGTCTGGTTAATGAACGACGAAAGCTTTATGATTGCACTACGGAAAGTGGGATTCAAGCAGCCTGTCACCAGGAACGTCCGCTCTCATCTTAACAGAACTTGCATAACAGAAGACCGGACGGCAGAGGAGCTTGGCTGCTACACCGACTCGAGGCCTTGAAACAGACGTTGAGCAATCTGCTTATTCCTCGCTGAAACTCGTACTTGTGTTGATAGACAAATAGCCGCTAGAATCCAGCAGCCACATCCCCCCCGCCCCCCCAACCCCGCTTTCCTTCATGTTGGAAGGAAATCCTGCAAAGTTCAAACCACAAGCAACATAATTTTTTATTTTTTTTACTTCAAAGAGAAAATGCTGTTTAAATTGGATTTAAGCTAGTAAATAGGACGACAATGGCACATGCAAGGATGTCTGGATTCATTAAAAAAAAAGTCAAAAAGTTCAACAGCCCTTTCAGTTTTTCGCTCTGCCTACGTTGGAAAATATTTTATCCAGTGAAGTGGTTCAGACTTGCAGGGAAAAAAGTATGTCAAGGTTCAAATCAACTTTCATTCATAAAAAAAATGCTGGAAAGAAACGCTGGATTCACGCTTTTAAGACCTTTTTTTGCTTCAGCTGCAGTATGAGATGAACAATGTTTTATTTATTAAGAAACTATTAACGGAAGCCCAACAATAAACTATCTTCGCTCATAAAGCAGCAGCTTTCAACATTAGCTTGTAAAGCTTAAAGAAAAGAAGACTTGCGGCCCAGTGCGCGGTTTATAAAGCCGGTATTTGAGGAATTAAAACGCGAGTGTGAGCTGCCTGTTGACTCGCCGTCGTTACGTCTCACTGCCATCTTGTCTGGTGTGCTCTCTTTGTAAGCCGGGCCCGGAGACCACCCTGCAGTGTCCATAAACTCTGTGACCTCCATGACTCTCTGAATGTGGGTGGATCACGGCAAATTATGGAAGACCACATTTAACTGTGCCAGAAATCATGACACCGCTCCGCTCCTAGGAGTCACCAAAGAAGTTTTTTTCCTGCTGCTTTCTTGGCAAAAGCCGCTGCCACGAGCGTTACGCCTCCACCAGGATGCTTCTCTGACCTTGTGGCAAACGTGTGAGTTTTCCAAGCGTTTAGGAACGCTTTACCTGCCGTCGGCTTCGGCCTCGCTGACGAGAACTAAACGGCATCGGGATGCAGAATGAGAGGACGCAGGTTTTCTGTGGGGTTCTTTTTTCTTTCTGCACAGAACACAGGGTTGCCATCTTGCAAAATAACGACGAGGCACAATATCAGAGCAGTGCATTAACTTAGCGTGGGTGTCATGACACTGCAATCTTGCTCTGAATTCTCTGATGTAAAACCCACACTAGTGGGTGTCAGGCCCACCAAACACATACGCTGGCAACGGCGTTACCACGCTTCCTTGTGCTTCGCTCAAGACGCCAAATTATGAC